GGAAATTTATTTAAGAACAAACTCCCACGATGCAGAGCAAACCACCGCTCCGTTAAACACGTATGATAATACGTGTATTCGCCTTAACGTCAGATGATTTATCCTAGTTGTCTTCTATCGAACGGAGATGAACTCACCTTAAGTCACGTGTTTTGTTACACTTGATGGGTTTTAAGTGTGAGCGACTTTACTCCTAATCTTCTTAATCCCCTAGACGTAATTGGATTAAAACCTAAGCCTTTTTCAATTACTTAAGCTACTAGAAAAATTAAATGACGAAAACGGCAAATAAATTTAACAGACTTTAATTAATAAAAAATCACTAGTCTTTGTAGGGCCGAAAGACTAACGCTCGCGAATAGGATTTTACAATTAACTATTTTCCGTGAGAAAGAGAGAGAGAGAAGATTCGAATATTACCGCGAACTAACGCTCGGCGCGAATACAAAAAATAACAATATCACGAATATACAAAATATCGAAAGTATTTTGTATCGCTTAACATGATGGGAGGTGCACCTACCATGCGGTGCAATTACGGTGATCAGCCGTAATTGTTGTTGTAAAAATCTCAACTGCCGCTGCCCCTCGATTATCAGCTGCGCTGCCTCGATCTGCCTCAATATAACTTTGTTGCTGCTTCTGTACTACTGCTATTATCTGTCACGGAAATGCCGTTGCACTCACGCACGTAATTGACCCAAAGAAAACTTTACTTTTGCGAAACAAAGTGCAAAACACAAATCGGCGGTAAACTCTCGTGAACAGCTGAGGCGAAACTGCCTATTCAAAAGATCACGCGCCCCCTCTCTCTTTCAATAGTTCGAACTAACGCGCGAGAAGCAGAATCGCGAACGGTTCGATTAATTAAATCGACTACCGTTGCATAATATATATATGGGTCTGTCCAACAGATTTTTAAAAAAAGCTGCGCAGGTGGGTCAACCGATCTTGGCGGCGATTTTTTCTATGGTAGTACACCCAACGTGAATTGAATCGCGACCTCCCTAGTTAGGTTGGTATGAGAATTCCGTCGTTGCATCGGAACGAAGAAACCGCGGGAAAATTCTATTATAGATAGTATAAATAAATAAATAATAACTTATCTAAATACCAGCATAACGATAAATCCTTGCTGAAGCAAAAGCAGGTAAAAGCACAAGAAACTCGGAAGAAACATTTAAAATAGACATATACACGTGTAAACAGACTTTTTCAGGTCTGCTATTCGAGCTTTGATTTTGACTGCTACTTTCAGTCCGTAACGGTGGTTTTCAGATTGGCCATAGTATAACGCTCGTTCTTAAATTATATAATTAAAACCTAAAATCAAATAATCATGCATCTAAATTCATTGTTCGGCAAACAATTAATTTTAAACCTAAAAACAAATTAGTAACGTTTTAGCTTTTTATCGTTTCTTAAAACGAATTTTCATTTTTGAATTTTCCCGCGGTTTCTTCGTTCTGATGCAACGACGGAATTCTCATACCAACCTAACTGGAGGGGTCGCGATTCAATTCACGTTGGGTGTACATACAACAAAAGAACTTTTGGCTATCTCAGTTTTTTTTTAAATATATATATACCGAGATATATATATAAATAGGTGAAAAAATGAGCCTTTTTTTGGCCATTTTTGAAGACCCATAACTCCGTGAGTTTTGAAGATATCAGGATGAGCGACATCTCATTCGATTCGTCTTTTCATTTACTTTTGAAAACATGGCAGTCCAACACCTGAAAATACACTCTGCTGGATGTACCCACTGGTTCATTGCACTCATAATTGCTTGATTTGAAATCATATTCACGGGCTCGTAGTTCCGTCAGTTTGACATTTTTTGAAAAATTAGAAAATATTTTTTTGTTTGCATTGAAACGAGCTTTCATTTGCGACCTCGCCCACCTCGCTAGCTTAATTAGGACCAATGATATGCGTATTCAAAGTTTGCTATTATTCCGAAAATAGCACAATATTGCTATTTTGAAAGTACATTTAAAAAATACGAACATCATCTTTTTCATTAAACAAGGTTTTTCTAAGCAGCTCTAGTATTGTAGAATATAGTCCTATAATAACATCGGTGGACTTTTGCTTCCTTGTTGACTTATGTGATTTTTCAAAATCACTAATTTCTGATATTTTGAAAAATTATCTACGGTTTACTATTGTAATTAAAATTGTAATAATGACTTGATTTCATGGTATTTCACTTTTAGTTCCTGTTTCACAACTAGAACTGCATCAGCACGATTTGCTTACTGTGGTTTGCACGTGCTATTGGGGTTTGACCTGTAGAGTGACACGACTTCTCGTGCCGATAAGCAGAAACAAATGAAATTAAGGCTCAACATGGGCAGGAATGGGAACAAATACTAATTGTTGAAAATTATTGATATCAGACAAAATGTGTAAATTGGACGATGTCAATGATAAATGAGGGCAATTTAGTGGAGATAGGTGAACACCAATTTTTCCAAAAAAATATCGTAAATCATCGTTAAAATGTCCCTATTACTTTTTTACATCAACCAATTTGCATATTTCTTTACAAAATATCGATAATTTTTGATAATTAATCCTTATGTTGACCATGTTAAGCTTTACGTCTGTTTTTCCTTGCCGACGTGAGAGGTCGCATCAGTCTACGGGTCAGACCCCAATTGATTGAGTTGCATGTTGTAGTCGACGTCAAGTAAAGAAGCCGAAAGCTAATATATTTATTTTAAGAAATAAATAATTAATCCAATAATTTTACGCTGCCCTATCAATTGTTCATAAGTTTATTGATTGCTCAATCTTTTCGTACTAAATTTGTTTATTAAAACATTTATTTATTTCTTCTTTCACATATTCATGAGAAATTGAGCAAACCAAAACAACCTATGAGCATTTGATTGGCGAGCTTAAGATTATTGAAAAAATCATTTTATTAGCAGAGTGGTTCGTGTTCGCTTCGTTGCTTGCAGCTGATCGTAAGTATCAACGATAGTAAATCAAAAGTTCTAATACAGCTCTGTATATCGTTGGAGACTGTTACCAAAATTCACATATATAAATATTTTTTGTTATTATAATATGAAAAATGTTATTTGAATAGTTTGTATAAATCAATTATTCAAGTGTCAATGCACTGATTTTCGTTTATCTGCAGACTGCTCTCGTAAGTGTTTTTAGTAATTTTATTTTTGAGTATCTGTGGCTTACTTAAAAAGGCCGGCTAGCCGAACAAATCTTTTTCTACGTGATCCATGAATCTTATCTTTATTTCTTACGAGTAAAATTGAAATATTTCTAAACTTTATATGTATACTTTTATACTTTTTATAAGATTACACGAAAAGAGTTCATATTGTATCAATTATATTAAAAACTGCCAATATTGACAAGTATATTCAAACAGTCTCTATTGGTCAATGCATTGCAATTTTTATTACTGTGAAAATTCATTACTACGAAATAAACAATGTAGTCTATATACATTTAGAAAATCACTCTCAAAGATCCCATAAACATTCGACGAATGTTTATGGAATCTTTGAGAGTTAAATTCTTATTAGAGAAAATTAAAACTTACAAAGAATCTTTATGAGTTTCAATTTTTGGGATCTCACTCACAATTTTATCTTTTTGAGTTATATTTCATTAGAAAAGTAATAAACACTTGGGCTTAAAATTAAAGAAATGATTTGTTCAATAATAGTCGTAGTAATGACTGTTTTAAATACTTTTTATTTTAGTATTTTTTAGGAAATAGGAGTTTAATCATTTAAAGGTAACGTTTCAAAGAGATTGTGATGAAAAATAAATACTTAAGCATCGCAAGTACTGATTGTTATTGTAATGAGTATCAGATTTTTTGATGATTCAAATGAAATGAAAAGGATATTTTTGAGATCGTAAACTGTTTTTGTCAGCTGATAACGTTTACTTGGTATTTTAATAAAAAATTCCACAAATTTTTAATTTTGCTTGTTGGTTAATTCTTTTGTTGCAACTTTAAAATATTTTTTTCAAGATTACGTGAAAGATTAAGCACTAACGTGGCATTAAAAATTCTAAAATAAAAAGTATGTAAAACAGTCATTACAATTACTACGACTATTATTGAACAAATCATTTCTTTAATTTTAAGCCCAAGTGTTTATTACTTTTCTAATGAAATATAACCCAAAAAGACAATATTGTGAGTGAGATCCCAAAAATTAAAACTCATAAAGATTCTTTGTAAGTTTTAATTTTCTCTAATGGGAATTTAACTCTCAAAGATTACATCATTATCCCGCTATAGCCGTTACTGTCTTTTTAGACATTTTATGGCTTATTTCAAGTAATTTGTGTTCATCATGAAAATCATCCCTCAGGCAACTATTTCAATCATTTTATAGTATGCATGCAACATTTTATATTCAAACTCAAAAAACAATTTGAAAAGCTTATAACGTGAGTTTGAAAAACTGATAACAACTCTAAAAAGTTTCAAAATATTCTTTCAACCAATTGAGGAGCATCTTTATCTGGGGTATCTATTGGAGATGTAATATAAGGGTTTTTGACGTCGCATATTACAAATCTGAAATCAGATTTCCGAAAATCAAAATTATTGATCCAATGTAACGAACAAAATCTTGAATATTAATGTTCCGATCCTTTCAAAAAATTTTTGAACTATAGTAATGTAAGAAAAATTCTAAACAAATAATATGTAATGAAACTCTGTGAAGGATACTTGAAAAAAATATTTCAGAGTCCTAGTTGTCCCTATCAAGAGAAAACCGATTTTTTGTTGTTGAACAAAAACGCGTTTCTCCACGTTAGTTTTATTTTATGAAGTTGATAATGAATAAATTATTCAATCTTTTTTAAGTCGGGCTTTTGGATATATCCTTGATACATTGTCTAATAAATCAAAATTCCAAAGTAGTTCATAAACTCATCAAATATATTAAAAATTTTATTATTATAATTGAAATATTTTCATTTCTTTTCATTACAGAAAAAGTAGATAATTTGTTAGCATCCATAGTCTCCAGCAATTTTCACTTTTTCAACATGAGTGAGATCGATTGTATAGTCGGTCGTTTGGATAACTCTAGATCTTGTAAAGTCATATATTTTATTAGGAAAATTTAATTGCTTTTTAAGATTTAGATGCGCAAGATTTGAAACATCTTCGATATAGAGTACCAAACTTTCCTCTGATTCTCAATGGTTTTATTTGTGCAAATCATCGAAAATAATACTTAGTAGATTTTCCTGAACGTCAACTAAACTGCTGCAACCCTTTAAATGAACATTCTGGAATTAAAAAAGGTTTTAGAACTCTTTCTTTAGAAAATTGTGATAAATTATATAGTATTTGCAATATAATAGCTCCTTCTGGTGGGAAACTTTATACTACGTGTCGAGCTTCTATGCTACAGAAATTTAACGATTGGGAATCAAAACAGAATATCTTGGCTGTTGAACAACACAGTTCTGCAAACATTCAAGAAAAATCTGAGATAGAATTGCCTTCTTCAGCAAGTGCTGCAGTAACTGATCAAAGTCAATTTTCTGACCCAACAGTGTCTGATGGCAGCTTGTGATTTGTTTCTGAAAGCCAAGAAAAAATTTTAAAAGAAGAAAGTTTAAAAAGAATCTTGGATGATTTGGAGCTTTCGATGCCAAAAAGAAAAAAATTATCTCAAGAACAACAGCAACAAAATTTGGAAAAAGTAGTTCAGGGGATTTATGGAAGAAGTATTGAAAAAATAAATGATGTTTTTCAATCTGACTTACCTGTGAGCCAAATAACTGAATTGCAAAGAGATAGTCAAGTTCTAAGTCAAATAATTAACAATCTACGCATGGCATACAACAATCAATCCACCACTTCTGGAAAAATCAAGATTTTAACCTTGTTGCCTGTAGAACATACTTATAGAGAAATCAGAAAGTGTATCTGTTGTTCTAGATACATGATAACAAAAGCTAATCACATTAGGGAAACACATGGTGAGTTAATATTCAGATAAATATTCTTTAGCGATAAGATTTACAAGCCGGCTGAAATAAATTGTTTTCCGAATTTCCGATACTTCCTAAAACGTTTTAAAAATTTAATTATCATATGAGTGAATTTACAAAGCTCATTTAAACTCATCAATTTCGCTCATTTACAATATTTATTCTAATAATGTTTATATTTTCCATTCTCCATTCATAATACCTTATTTGTATTGTCTCAGAATTATTTGAAATAATAAAAGTACTCATCTTGGTACTATTTTCTGATTTATAATTATTTATATTCCAATTGATAAGGTCTACAAATTTCAGGTGTATTAGCCGACCCACCTAGAAAAAAGTTTTCTTTTTACTCTGAAGAGCTTGTAGAATCCATAGGAAGTGATTACAAACATGATAAGAATAGCCGAGCTTGTGCTGGTATCAAAGAATATATTGTTGTCGTGAACAAAAAGTGAAAGAAAGATTACAAGAATAGATTGCTTTTGTTCAGTCTCAGAGATTTGTACCATAATTATTTAGACGATCATGCGGACGAATAAGAAAAAGTTCCCAGTTTGTCATATTTTGCTGAGCTACGACCAGACGAATGCTGTTTTGCTAGTGCTCCTGGTACACATTCCATTTGCATTTGTATGGAACATCAGAATGTAAAATTGAAAGCAAGAGCAATATCGTTGTCATTGGATTACAGAGAATTATTAGACGTTTGTGTTTGTTCAGTAGATAACGAAAACTGTATGTCGAAAAACTGCTCTGAAAAAGCTATTCAGGAATTTTTGCAAACTGAAAATCTTGTAAAATAAAATGGCTACATCAGGTACTCAACTTGGTCATCCGTTCACTTTACAAGTAGTAATGAAGAAACAACTAGCAATACTCGCGTAACACTTATTCAAAAGATCGAGGATGTCAAAGTATTCTATGAAGGATTTGTGAAAGATGTTTTGAAATTAAAAGAACATCATTATGTCAATGAAATTCAGAAATATTGCTTCGCATTCATGAGGAATAACTTGAAGTATGACACTGGTTTAGTAGTAATGGATTTTTCTGAGAACTACTCATTTATAGCTCAGAATTTCGTTTAGGCTTTTTATTTTAACAATATTCAAGCTACGGCATGCCCTTTCGTCCTTTACTATAGAAGCAATGATGGAATGAAGATAGAATGTGCTAGCTTTCGTGTTATTAGCGATTACTTGAAGCATAATGCAGACGTTGTAAATATCTTTCAAGAGAAGGTGATAGAAATTAAAGATCTCTTTCCGGAATTGATATATTTTTCAGACGGAGCCCGAACACAGTACAAAAATAAATAAGTTTATTTTTTTAGCTTCACATATTTTTGCGAAACTTGTTTAAAGAATGAAAAAAAATTACTGACAATTCTCATCATTTTTACAGGAATCATTTTATAAATATTTGTTATCATGAAGATGATTTTGGAATCAAAGTAGAATCCTATAATTTCTTTGCCCCTAGCCACGGTAAAGGACCCTGTGATGGAATCGGAGCTGTAGCGAAACGCTTTGTCAGAGATGTATCTTTGCGATTGCCAGTAGAAAAACAAATTTTGAATGCACGTGATATGTTCCTGTACCTGAATGAGCATATGGAAAAAATCAAGTAAGGCATTATTTATAAAACCGCTTTTTCATACTATAGACTTTTGAAAAACTGAATATTATTCAATTTTTTGTAAGGTTTCTATGGGTTAGCAGCGATGAATGTGAACGTCGACAAAAAAGGTTACAGAAACGATTAGATACAGCACAAACTGTCAAAAATACTAGAGGATATTTTTACATGAAACCGATTAATAAGGACAGTGGCAAGTTTAAAATTACAACTCTGTCTGACGAGAGTAGGCCTAAAAGTATAAGTAAAAACTGAATATGCAGAAAAATAAATATTTTTTATCATTTACCATAAACTAATATTATTTATTGCGCTTCATTTTTGTCCTTCTTCAAAAAGTAATTCAACCTGAACTCTGATATAACTTTGAATTTTCGCGCTACTTGTGTGCTCCACCAATCACAATGCTGGATGTTGGCGAATCATCATTTCTTAAGGTAGGAATATGTATTTATAGAATATGCACACAATTTCGCTCTTATTTTTTAATATAATATTATCATAATGTTAATTACAATAGTAAACCGTAGATAATTTTTCAAAATACCCGAAATTAGTGATTTTGAAAAATCACATAAGTCAACAAGGAAGCAAAAGTCCACCGATGTTATTATAGGACTATATTCTACAATACTAGAGCTGCTTAGAAAAACCTTGTTTAATGAAAAAGATGATGTTCGTAGTTTTTAAATGTACTTTCAAAATAGCAATATTGTGCTATTTTCGGAATAATAGCAAACTTTGAATACGCATCTCATTGGTCCTAATTAAGCTAGCGAGGTGGGCGAGGTCGCAAATGAAAGCTCGTTTCAATGCAAACAAAAAAATATTTTCTAATTTTTCAAAAAATGTCAAACTGACGGAACTACGAGCCCGTGAATATAATTTCAAATCAAGCAATTATGAGTGTAATGAACCAGTGGGCTCATCCAGCAGAGTGTATTTTCAGGTGTTGGACTGCCATGTTTTCAAAAGTAAATGAAAAGACGAATCGAATGAGATGTCGCTCATCCTGATATCTTCAAAACTCACGGAGTTATGGGTCTTCAAAAATGGCCAAAAAAAGGCTCATTTTTTCACCTATTTATATATATATCTCGGTATATATATATTTAAAAAAAAACTGAGATAGCCAAAAGTCCTCTTGTTGCATGTACTACCATAGAAAAAATCGCTGCCAAGATCGGTTGACCCACCTGCGCAGCTTTTTTTAAAAATCTGTTGGACATAGCCATATGTATGTATGTATATATATTTCAAATCATAGATATATATATATGAAAACAATTTATATCAAATCAAAATATATAAATATATGCATTTAAACACACACAACACACACACACACACACACACACACACACGATAACGCGTGATCTTAAAACACGTGCACACATACCGATTAACTCGCGGTAGGAGGGGGCGCCGTAGTCTAGTCGCTTTTTAGTTATTTACCTAATATACGCAATAAGAGCTACCAAAAGCTAAAAGCAGCCGTGGCTCACTTGCTAGAGGCTACGGTCTATCATAAATGAATTTTAATATTTAAAACGCATTTCACATTGGGCGGGCGGGGACTCTTACGCATGATCTAATAGTGCTGATTTGATAGCTTCAGATCAATGATCTCAGAAGGAGGAGGGGACGGCGGCGGAGGCTCTCGCTTTTGATCTAGGAGTGTTGATCTCATAGATCATGCACTTCAGATCACTGATATGAGGCCCCCCTGATCTGAAGCTCCCTGATCTATGGCCTCTTTAGTTTGCCTACCCCTATGGTAAGATTCAAAGGGCTCGAGAGCATACCCCAAGAATCAGACCTTAGTAACAAAATCCCTGTGAAATTACACTTTTCAAGGACACCAGTAGATGACGAAATGTTTTTGTTACCGCCGCCAGGACCAATCAACCAATATCGAAGACCAGAAAATTATAAGAATCCGAGTTCAAGCAGTGAAACCGCCAGCGGTAATTTTTCATTAGAGTCTGTGAGATATATTCTGCAAAATAATATTTAGCCAACAATGCTTGACCTATCAACAAGATACGAGGATCGTTTGAAAAGTCCGTGCAAAGTCAGAGAGATGTCGCTACTAGTGTGTATCAAGGTTCTTTTCAGTTAGTGGCATATCTTGGAAGAGCACACACCAAGTTTCAGCCAGATCGGCCAATTACTTTGCGTTATACATTCGTTTCAATCAAAGAAATCGAGTGGTTGTAAAAAAATGGACGAAAAAGAATTTCGTGTATTGATTATACATTACTTTTTCAAAGGCAAAACGCCTCAGGAGATTAAACAGAAGCTTGATAAACATTATGGTGATTGTGCACCTTCGATTAGAATGGTATATAAGTGGTTTCAAAATTTTCGGAGTCGCCATATGAGCACAAAAGACGCTGAACGTTCTGGACGCCCTGTGTTGAGGTTACCACTTCAGAAATCATTGATAAAATCCATGAAATGGTGATGGCTGACAGAAGAGTGAAGGTGCGTGAGATTGCTAGTACTGTAGGCATCTCGAGCGAACGGGTACATAATATTTTGCACCAACATTTGGACATGAAAAAGCTATCCGCTAGATGGGTGCCGCGATTGCTCACGATGACCAAAAACGAGATCGTGTGAAGTGTTGCAAGAATGGTTTGCAGCTGTTCCAGCAAAATCCGCAAGACTTTAAGCATCGTTTCATCACTGTAGATGAAACATGGATACATCACTACACTCCTGAAACCAAAGAATAGTCTAAACAATGGGTTACCAAGGGGGAATCTGCTCCGAAAAAGTCGAAGACAATTACTTCGGCCGGGAAGGTTATGGCGACTGTCTTTTGGGATTCGCAAGGAATAATCTTCATC